TCGCTTTCTTTGCTCTTGGTACCAAAGCCGCGAAGGCTTCCTTATCGGCTTTGTCGTCCCGCTCTCTGCCTGAGCTCGCCGCTGCAGCTGCCGCCTTAAAAGACCTGTTGGTCTTGCGCTCTCTGGTGGTCAGGTGCCGCACCTCTCCGTTAATGACATACTTGCCAAAAATAACATTCCAACACTATGAATTTCAATAATAAGCGGAAATAAGAGTATCTTTACTGCACCAGCATCAAAAGAGGAGAAGATAGAATCACTACAGTTGACTTAACCCACACTCTTATGGTGGTGTTGGCCACTGACAGGAAAAGCAGCACACTACTAATTTAGGAGCCGACACGCACCAACTGTTTGGTAGTCAAACCCTGATCATATGCGCGGATCACCTGCAAAGAGGATTTCAACACTAACTCAAATGAAGATACCACCAACATGGATCCGACGTTATATGTAGAGGTTTATATACAGCGTGCATTGACGGCTCCATAGCACTTTGAAGCAATCACAAGTGGAGGTATTTCTATGATTGTAGTCGTCACTACAGAGCTATAGGAAGTTGGACCATTTAAAACAGGCTAGGTAATGCTTGTATGACGTCAAATACGAAGATGATCCGTGCCCACTCAGCAAGTCTGCTAAGTTTCACACAATTTTTCGCAGCACAGAATTACATGTACATGCACTATGGTTGTGTGATCATGTAGGGTGTGTCGTGAGCCGCAATGACGATCCAGAACCTGTACCCGCCTATAGTTCGACAGTATGAGTAAATACTGAGGCATTCCAGCTACGTAGAGCATGTGTAATCGACAACAGAGTAATGTGTGCGCAACGTGCTACATGTAATGTTAACCTTGCTAATCGAGCGACAAAGACCTAAGGATATCATCACTGACAGTACTTGGTTTTTGCATTATCCTTATTCAATGAGAGCCCGCTACAAACAATACGACGCCATTCTAGCGACGAGACGCTTACGGGAGCAGCCTCTTGGGGTCACGCGAGAACATGGAGGACTTACTGATGTTGCCCAGACCCAAGTACAACATGACCACACGCTCCAGACCAATACCACCGCCACCGTGGGGCAGAGCGCCAAGACGGAACGAGTAGATGTAGTTGCGCATCGACTCCTGAAGCACACCCAGTATGTCCATACGCTCCATCTGCAGCTTTGGAATGTGCACACGCTGCGCACCCG